TTGCCTTGCTTCCTCTAGGTTAAAGCACCTTCCCATTATTGAAGAAAGGAAAGAAAATGGCTTCTGTAACTTTTCTTTAGAAAAATTCACATCTAAGTGACGTCCTATCAATTACACCTCCCAAGTCTCCCTCAAATCAATTAGCTCCTCTTCATTCTATTTCTCCATCTCACAGAATTTCCTTTCTGAAATACAGTTCTGGTCTTTTTTTTTGGAGATGGGATCTCAGTATGCAGCCCATGGCCCAGGCTGGAGTGCAGTGGATATTCACAGGTATGGTCATTGCTCACTGTGTCCCCGAACTCCAGGGCTCAAGCAATCCTCCCACCTCAGCCTCCCCAGTATGGGATGGACCAGAGACACATGCCACTGTTCCCTGCTTGGTCACGTCATTTAAAGTGACTCGACATGGCCCAAAGAATACAGGTTAAGCTCCAGCATACAGCACACAAGACCCTTTACAATTTGGCTCTAGTGTTCTTTTCCAGCACATCTGTGATTTCCTTCTTCCCTCCCTGCTTCCTTGCTCATCGTGTCCTACACATACACACACACACACACACACACACACACACACAAAGACCTATACACATTTCAACCGCACAGAGCCACCAGCAGCTTCCCGGCCACACCTCCATCCTCCTTCTGCCTCCTGCTTCTGGGACTCAGCTGTACTCACTGCCTGGGCCCTCTTCCCTTCTAGTGAATTCCTAATCTTTTGAACAATCCTCAGCTCAAGTATCACTTTTCCAGCTTACACAGTGTATTAATCAGTATTGGTACACTTGCTTCAAACCTGTTTCCCGGAACTTTTGATGGCATTGGCATCCACTGTGTGCCCTCGGACAGGGTCCATGTGCCCTGTTTATCAGAGCTTAGCAGACTGCCTAGCACTACTGGGCATCTAGTAAATGAAGGCACAGAGTGGCGGGTGAAATAAATGGAGTGACTTTCTCCCAGGGAAAGCAAGGGGATAATAAAGATGTTTAGTCTGGGCCCAGAGATGGGAACAAATTGCTGAGAAATCATGAGTAGAAATGGGATAAGTGCAGATAGATTTTCAAAATATTTCTGGTTTGGAAAAGATCCTACTTTCGATCTGTTCATAAAGGTTACATTTTATGGCATAACTGGCTTCTTATTTCTGGATAGCATGCATATTAAGTTATTAGCATTTACTGTAACATCTAAAAAGTTCTGCCTAATGAATGTCTGAATAAAAAAACGGTAAGTTAGTGCTTGCTTCATTAGGTCCTCTCCATATATAACCTGATGGAACAAACTAAGTTTAATCTTCTGGTAGCTTCTCTTGTCCCGGGACCTAGTTCTCACTTCCCTTCATCAGGAGTTGCAGCCCTGCGTTGTCCACATGCTCATATAAACAGCAGCAGTGTTCTTGACCCACCTGCTAAGCCTGGGAACTAAATGGTGCAGAGGAGAAGCCCACCTTTACACTAAAGTCCATCTGCAAGAGTAAAAAGCTACTAAGGAACAGGGAACCTTATAGAGGTATGGCAAATTGTGGAGGCAACTTACTGCATTCTGGGGTTTGAGAACAGCCTCTCATAGTGGCACAGAGTTCCAGTGAACACAA